AGGTTCAAATCCTGCTCACAGCGATTATCAGCTTTAATCTATAGTAAAAATATAAAACAATATGTAATGTGATAAAGGACTGTTGCATTCAGATACCCTAACAAATTTGTGCCACATGTATAGGAAAAAAATAAAATAAAAAGCGCAGAAGTCTCCTAAATGATCATTGTGATTGATATCTGACATGGATGTAATTTGATATTGAAAGTAGGTTTAACTTTTTTTTGATACATTTGTCAATAGGTAATTATATACATGAATACTTATGCGTATGTTTGTATAATTTTATTTTAGATATGTATTATTATTATAATACAAAAAAAAACCCCAAAAACGTTACATATATGAACATATCGCGAGAACAGGCCGAGAACTGCAGCACTCAGCACAGGTGAGCGCTAATTGACAGCAGGACCACGCCATGTGAGAGACCTGTGGAGCAGCACTGCAGGGTGGGTGTTGGATTCTCTTGAACGGCCTCTGTAACCCAAATGTTAAGTTTAAACGTTTACTCACATGAAGGCACATTTATTTTTCCCTTGTAGAAAGTGTACAACATGCCGATGAACAACAACCAGGTGAGTACAATGGAGGTAGATTAACCCTTTCTACACCTGCTAAACGATATTTAATCCTTCTAATTATTGTAGGCTACACGGTGAACTCCCTCCATTTTGATATTTTATTTAGGCAGCTTTGGGAAGATTTAGAAATGACCAAAATGAGCTTACACGATACAGAGCAGTTAATAAATTAATTAAACCATTGATTTCACTGTAAACCGCCCCTCAATGACTATATTAAGCTTGTTGTTTCTCGTATTGTCTTGCAGAAGGTGCAGAGTGCAGCTGCCAGGCTGGCCAAGCTGCCAGTGGTTTACTCAGCTTGTACCAAGCTGTCAGTCTTATACATTAACACTAAACACAGCCACCCCAACCTGAGGTCTGTGTGTGAGGGGCTGGAGAGCAGCGTGGCAGCTATAGTTACACCTGTCTGTGTAAAACTGGAGCCCCACAGTAAGTACTGTCACATTTGAGGCTGTTTTGTCCTACCTGTGTATAGCTTTCCAAAATCTGTACACCATAACATCAAAACTCAGAAGGAAAGGGGGCTCAAGAAATGTTTTATAATTCATGATAAATAATGCCTGAAGCTGTCAATAATAAAGGATGCAATGTAGGAACTTCAACATGTTACACAGTCCAATCACTAGCATTCAATCCCTGTAAGGTCAAAGCTAAAAAAAAAAAAAGTCATACACATCATATGTGTACCCAAATAAATAATTTGTATTAAAATAAAGTGCTAATAAATAATATTTTAGTTATAGGGTCAATATCCCAGCTAAATGCAGACTGCAGGTGTTGTTTATTGTAGTAATTAGTACTTTTCAGTAATAGCTTCACTGTCTGGAATATTTCCAGTGTCCATTGCAATTGACGTGGCATGTAAAGGTCTTGACTGGCTGGAGACTGCGTTCCCAGTGCTCCACATGCCCACAGAGCAGGTAACCTTTTCTTCACTCTTTAAAGCTCCAGTGTGTAGGATTTAGTGGCGTCCATCTGTGTAGTTGCAGTTTGCAACTCCCTCGCTTCAGCCTCTCCTTCCAACTGCGAAGGAGAGACTACGGTGGCTGCGAGGAGCTGTATCCAGAGCCAGTGTTTAGGTTTGTCCGTTCTGGGCTACCGTAGAAACGTAACGGTTCAACTTGGTGGCCTCCATAGAAGAGGCATGGTGTCTGTAGATATACAAGGCTCAACTTAAAGTAACAAAAACATAACTTTTCTTATTTTCGGTATATTTCTGCCAATAGATCCTCTTAAATGTTACACACTGGACCTTTTTAAATCTGAATAAGCCACACAATTTCCATAGTTTCTTTTTCTCAAACAGCAGAAGAGGCTATGACTATATCTCCTGCTTCACCTAGATTGTTGCCACTGCCAAGAACAAGATGCATGAGATCCAGGATGTGGTGAGCATAGCAGCTAATGGGACTGTGGACTGCGTACAGCACACAGTCACATGGCTGATGGCCGTGAGACAGCAGGGTGATAACCAGGCTGACCAGCCTCTGGTGGAGAGAGTCATCACTGTGGCCAGTGTGGGACTGGACTCTGCTCTGATCATGTCGGAGGTTCTGATGGACCGAGTGCTTCCTCCCACTGAAGAAGAGGAAGGTACATAGATTAATGGGGAGTTACTGATGTGAAAGACGTCCTATTTAGAACGTGCATTTACTTTTGTCTGTCGCTCAAAATATCTTCTTGCTGACTTCACAGAGGAAGAAGCTCACTTGTTGGAGGGTTTCGAGGCAGCCACGGTCAGGAGACGTTACCCTGCACGACTGGCTTCGCTCACTGTCAAGCTGTGTAGGAGGACCTTCCACGTGGTTGGGTCCAAGATGCCGTCTATTCAGGTGCGTGAGTACAGTTTAAAGGGATAGTTTTTTGGGAAATACGCTTATTCGTTGGATGAGCGGATCGATACCTCTCGGTCCATTCAATATGAAGCTACAGCCAGCAGCTGGTCAGGTTAGCTTAGCATTAAGACTGGAAACAGGGAGAAGCTGCTAGTCTGTAGTAGATACCTCACCTTACAGTGAGTTTATAGGAAATGGAGCTATGTAATGTATGATGACAGGACTTCAGTGCTGTTGATCTTCTCATCTATCTGTGCAAGAAAGTCAATAAGCGTATTTTCCTAAAGGCCGAACTGTTCCTTTAACAAGATGGAAGGATGGTTGAGTCTCGGGCAGTGTATGTTTGGTTATAGCAAACATGATACTGCCTTCATAACGTATATCAGTAGTTTTGACACAATTATCACCGTATTTTCTTTGCTGTCACATTGTTTTTGTTGAAGTTCTTATAAAGCAAGGTATGATTTTCTCTAAAATATATGTAGGTTATAAAGCTATAGAATGTTTTTCCTTGAGACAATGTTACAGTAAAAAGAGCATGTAACTCATGAAAAGAGAGATAATTGTCTTTATCTTACTTAATACAGCTCAATTAGACAGCTTTGCTTTGATTCAAATACTTATGTCTTGTGTAGCAGAAATGTTGACTTACAGCAGTCAATAACAATAAGTGTAATCAAGGACTTAGACCTGTGCGTTTTCTATGCCCACCCATTTCTGTCATTTCACACACATAGAACTAGGCTAAAGAGTGCTTTTGTCCTTTTATTCAACAGGTAATGGAGAATTTGTCCAGGCCTTCAAGTCTGGTTCAGGACCTTCAGACCAGCTGCCTGACCTTGGTCTGGGGCATCCAGGGACTGCCTCAGCATATGCAGCATCAGCTCGTGTCTGTGTTCTTCTTTTTTTCCCAGATGTACAACTTAAACTACCCACCTTCCCAACACCAGGACGACAAAGACAGACGCTGTCTCAATGCAGCCGAGACTTCCCCAACTCACAAGGACGTGGTCTCTGCTCACCCACAAACTACGCCATCTAGTGGCCAAAAGAGGCGGCCAGCCAAAATGTCTCCATTTAACAATGGGTATAATGTTAAAGGATGCGTTCGTCGCTGAACACTACTGTAATTATTTGATAAACACAGTTGTGTTAAGCTAATGTTCCGCAGCTCTCAATGAGGTGCAACTGAAATAAAACTTAAATTCATTCACTTTGATTCCTCATCCTTTAAGTCTAGCAGCTGTTCGGGCAGAAGCCACCAATGTTATGCCTACATAGGGGGGCACCAAGTCAACTGGGGAGACGGAGCTCCTAGCATTGGCAGTTAATCATGTAATATAAAAGACACCTCGCTATAACTGATTTGTGTGAATGGGTAATGACGCATACAGGCTCTTTAACTTGAAACCGATGATTGCAGAGCCACCTCTAGGTAGCAAGAGACTCAAACTACAGTAACTTATGAGGTACAAGACTAAACTGGGCAGCATGATATGGTAAAAATTGCAGGTATTTTGAAGGCTTATGATTGCAGTATTGTTAACAATTGGTGTGAGAACTCATTCCTGCATCACAAGTTTCATTTTCACCGAAATAAAATCGTGAATATTTAATACCTGTACCAAACAAATGTGTTCTGCAATCAGGAGAAAAGATTTGTAGATGTGGGCATCTCTTAAAGGGGAACTTGGCAACTCTAGCCATTTCTTCGCTGGTTTTCATTGCAATTGACGTGGCATGTAA